GGACATTCTTCAAAGAACTGGCAGGCTTAGCGTGTCACTTTTTTCCTCACTTGAAGAAATTAAATCTAATTAGGAGGATCCTACTAATACAATGTAGATACAGATTACAGGTGCACAGAGTGTGTGGAGAGTCCAGAATGAAAATAGCTGTAATGAAGAAGCTGGGGGAGGGGGAGACCCTGAAATAGGCTGACTTAATTATAAATCTTGTACTCTAAAATAAGAGACTTTAGTAGCTGCACAGATGTAAAGCATTTACAGAAATTTGGAAAATTCTACTGGGGAAAAATCTCTGATATTTTCTTTTAGAGAATGTAAAATGAGAACGGCATTATGCACAAATGCAACTGTTCCACAATTTTAGTATTAGTGATTAACTCTTGATATTTATTTCCCTCTTCTTCACCCAGGTGTGGTTTGACTGGATATACCTGAATTGCTTAAGTGTTTTAAGAGTGGAAGCATGAACAGAGCAGAATTGACTTTTCCTTGGGAAACCTTTGACATTTCACTGGCTGTTAACATTGTCCTTCTTACAGAAAATGTCACTTGAGACTGTAGTAACAGAGAACAAAAAAAATGCTTTTGCATGCTTGTCATTTCATATGAAATCGAGTGACTGATTTCTGATTGAAATCTCGGGAGCATTGAGTTCATACAAGTTTCTCACAAGATCCCCTCTGAAAAACTGGTTTTTGGACATATTTTTTGAGGCAAGGAGTATTAATAGTAGATTATCTGCGAAACTAACTGTTTAAAATACCTTTGATACTATGAAACTGAGAGAAACTTACCGAGTATATACAAGACAAAATCCAACTGGTTTAAAGTAGGTGTCATATCTGGGACTGAAAAAAAAAGTGTAATTGTTTTGTGTGTCCTTGTGTGACTGGGGAATTTAGAGCAGTCATTGGAAGATGAAGGAATCCAGCTCTCTGCATTATTGGACCCAGAGGCCATACTGTGTGATTACTAATGCATGCAGGCATGGTCAATAAATTTCATGGTTATACATCTCATTGTCATTTTTGGAGCTCATTGATTTAAGCAGCTTGCTCTGATTAAGAATATTACAACAGGCAGCACAGCCTCATAGGCTGACAGGTACAAAGTGGAGGAGTCTTATTTCAATCAAAAACTGAGGAAAAATTTGCTGTTAAGTGTGAACTGAATGCTGGAGCAAGTTGGCCAGAGGTTGTAGCAATCATGTTCCTGGAGTTTTTAAAACCTGACTGGAAAAGATCCTGAGCAAGTTGCTCAAATTGACTGTAGCAGGAGAGTTGCCAGGTGATATCCAGGGGTATTTCCAGTCTCAACTGTTCTGTGTCTCCTGTGGAAAAGCAGAAAGTAGTTCCAGGGCTGCAAGACAATCTCCCTTCATGTTTCTCACCAGTGGGGGTAAGGCATCAGTGACTGTCCCCTGGGCTGTCCTGGCTGTGGAGGGGGAGCTGGATGGACAGAGCTGAGTCAGGCTGGGATGTGGCTGCAGGTCTGAGGGCACCATTAGCAGCTGCATTTATGAGACTGCAGTTTGTGTTTTTTAACCAACTTGGTTGTATCTATTTAAATTCAAATGTAAGGTCAAACTTCTGCTATTAGTGCAATAAAGAATTTTAAGAGGTTTATTTAAATTTAACGCTTCCACTGTAGTTTTATACGGCTGGCTTCAAAGCATATTGACTTACACTGAACATAATCTTCTAATGACATTTGTTTTTGCCAGGAGATACATGTTTCTTCCATTATACATATTCTTCTATGCTTGTTTGCTTCTATTTTGTACTTTTTAAGTAATATTTGTAATTAGTTTTCTACAGTGCCATGTTGGTAACAGCAGCAGGAAGCCATAGTTAGCTCAGCTGGAACATTTTGGTCTCTGGAGTTCTTGTTACTGCATTCAGAGTAAGAAATAACTGCCTGGTTATCTTAGTGGCATTTGGATACTCTCATCCCCTTTTTTGTTCAATATTTCTTTATTGGTTAGACTTAGGACAGCTGGTAGGAATAGTAAATCCAAATTGATTGTCACAGATATTGTCTGACGTTGGCATGTCTGTAACTAGGAAGATGAAAACAATGTGCAGTAAATATTTTGGACAAGCTGAAAGAAGTTTCTAAAATAATTCATAATTGTCCTGCCTGCTAGACTGGATACACAAAGTTAAAATTACTTCCTTTTATTTGTGCACATTTTTGAAGAGCCTCAGAATTGCTGTGATGGTTTAATGAGCTGTGTGTTTGCTCAGTGCTTTTGTGGACATATTTCATGTTACCTGTAACTTCCATCAGAGCAGTGTTCCTGTGGAGAACATGTCCTGTGGCATTTGTGGGACTAGGAGAGCTTTGCTCAGTTTGCATCTCAACAACTGGTCTGCATTAAAGCACCTTGAAGACATATTTGAAATATTAAAATAAAGGTGTTTAGCCTTTGTTTAAAATCCCGTCTCTCTGGAAGCAGGTTACCTAATGAGCATGTTTTACTCATCTCATGGGGACAAAGCCTGAGCTGTTAAATTTGTGGCAGCAAAATGAAACAATTTTTGAACCAAGTCATCGTTTTCAGCATCAATAGAAGGTGATGCCCTTGTCAGCTGGCATTGGTTCAGCATAAGGTTCAGTCAGAATTGGCTGTGTTATGCTTAGAGCTGCTCTTTAAGAGACCTTCACCCTTCGCTCTGTTTGGGGCTGCTGCCATGGTGGATCTGTTGAATATTTATAAGAAACTATTACAGGCTCCTTCCTGCAGTCACAGTGTAGGCTCGTTAGCTCGTCTGGCAGAACAAAGCTTGTTCAAACTCACCGCAGACTCCACTTCCATCATTTCTTCTCTGCTTACTGTTGTGTGTTAAGCCACATACTGATTGAAGTTCAAAATACAGCTCCACTTGTACTCCTACAGTAGTTTCAAGGTTGGCTTGGTTCCTGAGAAATTCAGGCCTCGTGGGACCTGGAGTTGGGCAGACTAAACTTTTTAAACAAGGTTATGGGTGAAAGCTGGAAAGCTTGTTCTCTTGCTCTGCTGCTTGACTTAACTAATAGTTTACTCAGCTGTGTACAGAGATACTCAAAATCAAACTGAATCCACACCCCTGGCAATTCTAAGAATATGACATTGCAAAAAGTTAGGAATCTGTTTCAATAGTAGGTGATCTCATCAAAAATTTTTATGGTACACTTGAATTTCTCTTCCCATGAACATCTTCAGATGCTGGAAAGAGATGAATTTTTAATCAAATATAAATTAGCAGAATGTCAAACACACTTTTTGAGCAAAGTTGCTCATAAAAGAGATAAAGTTATAACATACATAAATGTAAGTTATGAATAATTAGAATTTCTTCCTGAACATTTCTTAGATCTTAGAGACGTGTAGGTAGCAGGGTATCCAGATTTGTAGATCAAGTGGTACCTTGATTTATTAAAAACTTACATTAAATCAGCTTAGTGTTAATTTCTGTTTTTCTTACATCATCATTAAGAAATTCACTGATTATTTACTTTTATAACAGGCCATAATTTTCTGTTTGTTATGAGAGTAGAAGCTGTTAAAATGGCTCATACAAGATTGACATATTGAATTAAAAATCATTTTGGAAGTGCAATTTAGGATTTGTTGCTATGTTTTAAAATCTAATCAAGCTACTAGTAGCATTTTTTTAATATGTAGTATTAACTGATGTCTTTTTAATATTATTTCTGATTATTATTATAACTATGTTTCTTTTGGTTTAGAGGAAATTGTGTTCATTTTTTTCTTTGGAAAAATGTTTTTAAAAGGGCAGCATTGGCAAGATTTTGCTTCTGACCTCTGAATTGAATTGCTCATCAGGCAAAGTCTGAATTGCTAAAAAAAATGAAACTTTTGAGTAAAATTCTTGCCTGAGGTTGGATTCGTACTGATTCAACAGATTTTTTATGATTAGACCATCTCCCTCAGTGCCGTTTCTGGAACAATGTGACCCTTATAATGAATTTTATTTTGTGACAAACTGAATTTCCGTGTACGTGCTCTACTCGCTTGTGTGTTTCGTGTTTGTGATGTGGTTTCTTCTTTGTTCTGCAGCACTTAAAAGCATTTACTTATCAGAGTTGAAGATAAATAAAGCATCCTGTTAGTAATTAGCTAAATTTTCATTGTGTCATCTTAAGGGCCCTGGAATTACTGTGTCGAGACACAATGTTGTCTTACAACTTGTAAATTATGAAATAAAACATAAAATTTCCTGTGGAAGGTGGTGACACCTGGGAAGAAGATACAGATTTTGGGAGGCAGCCAAGTACTGACTTGCTTACAAGAATTGGGGAACAAACCCCAAAGTCTTCCTTCATAAAAACAGTCTGCAGGTAGTTGTGTTCATATTTTTTAGATCTCTTAAAAATGAATTTCTCAGATCTAAGAAGCTGTTTTTCCCACTGAGTTCACATACATCCTTTGTGTATCTGCCTGCTGTTAGTGGGTTCAGGTGAAGCTTTGTGGGTGAGCACTCTTCACCCAGAGCAGTAACCCCCCTAACAGAACAACCCCTATTTATTTGTGAGATTCATTACTTAAATCACTGCTGTAAATCCCTCTGTATCAGTGTGGCTGTCCTAGAAATCCAGTGTAGCCAGCAATAGGAGGGTCAATGGCTAGTGGTGCTTTGGCATTATAGTGCTATAGCTACACTTGGGCATTTATTGATCAATTGATTGATTTATATATTTATTCCAATCACAAATGGTTTTTGGATTTTATGACCCAAAGCTTTAAGTAGAAACTTTTCCACGTAGTAGGGAATTCAAACCAGATAGACTTTTCAGCCTTGAACTTTGCTTTTGGGAGGTAGGAACTCTAGAGCCTTGACTTCAGCTGTTTTGAAGTAGGGACAGCAGTGCAGTTCTGGCAGGTGTTTGGGCTGTGAACTGTATAGGAAGTTGTCTCATTCCTCAGGTCAACAAGCCATTAGTCACACTAGTTACAGAGTTTATTCAGAGTTTGATCTGCCTCTTATGTTTTCCAGGGATATCCATAACTGAGTTGTGCTTTTTATGAACGAGGGGAGGGGCCTAACAACTCGCCTGAAAGGGTGGTAAGAGTTGACAACATTTTTTTACATATATTTGCATTTCTTTCATTATTAAATGTTTTTGTGTATATGAAATCTAGAAAGCAAAATTGTCTGGAACAGTAAATAGAAAGATTGAAAAAGTAGCAGTCTCACAGTTGACATTTGTTAGCCAACAATAAAGTGATAAAAGGCTAAATTCTTTTTATAGTAATAGCCTGTAGTGACCTTTCTCTCAAACAGAAGGACTTTTGAACTGAGTATGGCTAAAATATGCAAGAGTTTGAATTAGCCTGCTTGGAATACCAAATCACCAAATAAAAACAAATGTTCGTTATAATCAAAATGTAGAATAATCAACTGCATATAATGCAGCTAATAATAAAGCTTCCAAAACTTTATAAATGGGCCTTGTCAAGATGTTTTGTTCTGCTGCTGTCAGAGGTGAACTGACTTCCCACCTCCTGACTGCCCTTTCTCAGCCCCTCAGTTTTGTGTTCAGCTGTACAGACAGATTTCACTTGGGGTTGTTCTGGGAGCTCTCAGTGCAGAAATCTGTGGCATGGGAATGTTGCACAGTTCTGAACTCAGTGCTCACCTCCAGGCATGGTGGGGTGTGGGCCTGGCTGCCCCAGAGCCTCCCTGCTGTCAGAGAACAGCACAGTCAACACAGGCAAAGAGCAAGCAATTCATTAATTTGTATTACTTTCACTGATCTGAGAAGTTATTCCTGAGACTTAACCAGGCAGAAGCTTCCTTACCCAAGGAAAAGTAATTTGCATTGGTATAAAGGAATGTAATTTTAAAAACCTCGTCTCTTAAATGACTAAAACCAGAAGATGGTTGTACTTGCTAAATGAATAAAAATGATTGAATAATTCAAACTTCTAAAAGCTTTCATTTCTTTTTATTAGTCTCCTTTTAAATTTGTTTTAGGGAAAGTAGATTTTTGGATAAAAGATGGGAATACAGTTTGCACAGTACAAGCACATCTGAAAACTACTGCTTCTGAATATCCTAAGCAGTATAGAAGAGGTAGGAGATTTCTTGGGGAATTTTTCACTATGATAGTCAGCCTGAGGTGAAATTTGTATTTCAGCGAACTATTTAGAGCAATAGAAAATTATTGTAGGGGTGAAAGGGAATAAAGTAACAGGAGTAGGTGGTGTTATTTTTTACCAAACAGCCTCACTACTTGTTCAAAATTAGGTAAAAAGGTATAAAGCAATCAAATGAAATGCTGTTTGTAGAGACATGACAAACATGTATCTGTTTTTATTCTGCAGTATATTTGTGAAGGAATGTATAGCTTTGAAAATCTTCATGCTTTTTGTACTCTGAAGATTCAAACAATACTAATTGTCCTATCATTACCAAAGGGCTTTTTTTACAGAGTTCATGTCTGAGACTGATTTCTTGTTTCAGAAGTGGAGTATTCTCTGTATTCCTTTTAAAGAGTATGTCGCCCTTAATCAGGAGAGCCATACATTTTCAGAATGATGGTGCTTTCAATTTATTGCTTGTCAGCCCTGAAGAATGCTAGTCATTTTCTTTACAAGTGCAACTCATTGACTGAGACTGCTAACTTATAAAGCAATTTTAGGTTTATTTTGATTGGTTATTGGTTTGTGGCTTTTAATGATGAGATTGAATTGCATTTCTGTGCAATAGACATTGTGGTGAAAAATCTGGAAAGTTGGAGCCATTTGGAACTGCTCTTACTCCCACTGAGGTCAGCAGTAGCATTTCTGTGGCTTTCAGTGGGAGTAACATTATACTGTCTGAATGTGAAGACTTTTCTTTCAAAAAAACACTTAAAATAGTCTGCTTTAGTTAGGGTTACATGAAAACTAAGTAACTATTGTACTACTTGTTTATGGAAATAAAAAGTATTTCCTAAGTAAGAGAAAGAAGTTGTAACCATTTCTGTTGTGCCAGCGTATTGGGTTTTTTAATACCTACAGCTCTGGAAGTCATTGCACCACAAAAATTGGTTATCTAGAACAGTTTTGATTATATCCTCCAGTGTGTTTTAATATGTTGTCTGTGGGAGTAGATTTGAGCAAATCTACCGAGTGCCTTCTCACAAGGCAGGGAGTGTTGCAGATGAATCCTTGCAGGTATTAATGGTCATGTAAACAGGGAATCTGGATTGGAGAGGAAGCATCATCTCCTGAATACATGGAGTTTTCAAAATTCTGTATTAGTTCTAAACTTTTAATAAAAGTTAATTATTAGTAGTGGCATTTTCACATGTCATTTAAGAAAAGGGTTATTTTCTAGAAAGGTGAACATTTCAAAAAGTGAGATGCTACGTTTGCTATGCAGTAACTGTCATAAGACTTTTTTTTTAAGCCCCTCTATGAAGATGCTATTACAAGTGAACTTGGCATAAAAGCTTCTAGCCCATAGCTGCCAAGAAATGATTTCTTAAACATTAAAAATAAGTGCCTTTCCAGAAATTAATACTAAATAGTAATTTCCAAAACTGTAGTTGTGTGATTTAAATGGTCAGTTTTGCTTACAGTATACAAAATGGAGTTGACTTGATTTGAAATGTGTGCCTGGGTTTTGAAATCAGGCTGCCAGATTTCAGACCTCAGCCATCCAGAATGGGTGTTTTTAAGCTGTTAGGAACATTTTTTTCCCTTGTAATTAATTTTCTTTCCCTAATTCATTGCTTGTAGATTTATGGCTGCTTATTTTGGGTTTCTACCATATTTTTTGGAATGATCAGCAGTGATGAATTAATCTTAATTGATGGATTACTATACATTAATCAAACTCTTACTTAATGTGCTTGATATTTCTTGCAAGTAAGCTATTTTTTAAAATCATTGTGTGTAGTTAAGTTTATTAAATTAAGACTTGAGCAAATAAGAGTCTTTGTCGCATATGGGAAGCACAAGATATGACCCAAATACTCAAATTACCCAAAGTTAGCATTTTGTTTTATAAGCATTTGCAGCACAAACAAATCTGAACCGAATAATTTTAGAAAGGCATTTCCCCTCCATATAGTGTATATTATATGTAGATGTTAATTAGGGATTTTTTTATCTGTGGCTCTTGGAGATTATTTTTATCTAGTTTATCTGATGACAAGTCTATTTATCTCGTATGGGAAGTTTTACTATTGTCTCTGCAGGACATGGTTTACAAACTAAGTCTGATGACTCTGTGTTGTGTGCCTGAGAATTTACCTCTACATGATTATCTTTAGTTAATGATCATACAAGCTTTCCAGAATTGCTACTGAGTCCTAAGTTTGCCTTCATTGTTATCCACACCACTGTAGTGCCTTTGGTGGTGTTGAATAAATATAAAAAAGTACATTGGATTCTTATGTACAATATACATGGATTTAATAAATTAAAATTTTGGGAGCATCAGAACTACTGAAATACTGATTACTGAAACAGGAAGGGTTGGTTTTTTTTTTTTGGTAGGATGTCTCCAAAATGTTTGCAAAATTCTTAACATCTCTGAAGTAGAATTTCACTGAATTGCCTGGCTAAGGTTGGCCTTAGAAGTCTGTGTGATACATTATTTTGCGCTGCCCTGCTTTCTGCTTCATGGCTTGGAGAAAACCTGCTTCATCTGAAATGCATTAGTATTCAAAACCTGCATGCTTTTCTGGACTCAAAGGACTGATAATCTGTATTTGGGATATGCATGTGGAAACATGCTAATGTCCACCTACCAATGGAGCTGTACCTCTTTGCACACATTAGTATTAAATACAAATATGTAACTTCAGATCCTTGAGATCTAACTGCCAGTGGTTGTGTTCTGGTCAAACATGTGATGCAACTCCTCTGTCATTCCTAGTGCCATACCCAATTTCCCCATATGGATCCAATGAAGAGATTATAAGTTTAGAATTTAATCTGTACTTGCATGACAAGAGCCATGGGAGGCTTTCTTAATATTCATTCAGTGTTCTTAGAGACATCTCCAGCAAGATGGAGTAAGATGGGCATGGTCTATTAAAACTACAGTGAATAAAACTTTAAAGCCCAATCTCTTGATTCACATTTCTTACAACAGCAACTCGATAGAATTGACAAGACATAAATATTAACAAATTTTCTGCATTTATTTAGATCCATTAAAGGCCTTTCCAAGTGGATAAAGGAAACTTGGATGATGAAAATAATAAACAAAAAGCATAAAGCATTATCTTAGAAAAATGTTACAATACCTGCTTGTTACCTCAGAACACCTCAGGAGCATATCCTCACAGAAGAGGTACAGATGGAATTGAAGTGCAACCAGTTTAGCTGCTGCACCATCCCATAGTGACTGTTTTTAACTTTTTCTTCAGGTGTTGAAAAGTATACTTTATAAAAGTGGACAGGCAATTTTATTTGGCTTTGGACTACTTTCTTGATTTCTTGTAGTTTCAGTATTATTCTTCTGTTGTAAACTTGCAAGTCTTACGGTAAAGATTGATTTTTTTTTTTTTTTTTTTTTTTTTTTTTTTTTTTTTTTTTTTCTTTTTTTTTTTCCCCTTAAAGCTTTACATGGTGTATAAATTGTTTTTTTTTTTTTTTTTTCCCCTTAAAGCTTTACATGGTGTATAAATTGGTGCTGGGCTTCAACAGGGACTAAGTCTTCGAAACTGATTTGCAATTTTGCTGTAGAAATTTGTTGGAAATTTTCAGGAAGATTTTTGTGAGACTTTTTTATCATGCACAATGTAAGTAAAGGGTCTTCCTGCTAAAAACCTCATGACTTCATCAGATTTTGAGATAGGTTCTGAAATACCTGCATAGTGAAGTCGAGAGCATTTGGACTCTAATAAAGCAGTCCCCTTTGCATTTTACATTTAAAGCTGAATTTTTCCTCCATCTGGAGGGTTAGGCATGAACAACTGCAGAGATGCGTTGTCCCATGAGAGTTCTGGCAGGGATTGTTTCCCTGGAATGATGCATTCAGGAACAGAAGTGAAACGTGCCCTGATCTGTGTGAGAAGCTTAAAGCATCGCTTGTTCCTCCTCTCCTTCCTGACTGGAATTCCA